CGTGGGACTTGGAGAGCAAGTCCTGGTTCGTCTAAATTTTTAACCAGCTTCTACCTTGACAGGTTCTTCACTTGAGTCTGTGTGTGATTTGTGAATTTTCTCATTATAGACCATGAGAAAAAAAAGTTAAGTGCTTGAAAACGGTCCATCTCTCCACCTGGCTGTACCACCGCATGTGCCCCCCTGAAAAACATAATAAGTAATGCAGTGTCTCCTCGCAGCCCCGGGGGAGACTCGCCTCCCCTCCCCCCAGTCCGCCCTGCCTTCATCTGGGCTGGGATGACCAGCCTCCCAAACCCCTGCCGCTTCTATGAGAGGAGCCGTATTTGATGTAGTGAAAGTGTCATCACCCAGATGGAGGGTATCTGGGGAGGGAGGGGAGCGGGGCCAGGCAGGGGCTCCAGCTCATTTGTAACCCTTTATTTCCTTTAAAAGACTCAAGTACGTACAGCAGAACTGTTAGAACTGAGCATCTGAAAACAAGTATTTGTTATATTATTCTATGTTTTAAATATTAAATCATTTAAAAAACTGAATTAAAAACTAACTAGTGAAGACAGAGACGTATTTCCTAAACACTCAGATACATATTGCCTGTCCATTCACCACATTCTTTCCTGGCTGGAAGAGTATTTACCATCCTTTGCCCCATTTTACAAAGTGGTAAGGAAACTGCTGTTGGTGGTGGTCAGGTAGGAAAAAAATTAAACAGCAGAAATAGAAACACCTGGGTCCGCATATGTAGGTGGTATTTTCTGTATTTTATTGGTTTTTATTATAAAATGGATATACGCTTATTGCAGTAATGTTTTTAAAATACAGAATTGTACAAAGTAAAAAATGACTCCACTCATCCTCAAGATTTTATTCTGTGCATCACACACATGTATGTGTGTTTGCGTGTATGTATAATCACATACATTCACATGTATATATATAATTCTTTTTAACTAATAGGATCATAATTCGATTCTGCAACTTGCCCTTTTTTGTTTACTGATGTATCTTGATACTTTGGAGCTATGTAATTGGCTTACCGCCTTTCAGCGTTGTTTTATTTAAAATTTAGAAAAAATGTTTTTTGGACTGCAGCATTATTTCTTTATCCCCTGGTGAGTAGGTTGTAGACATAGAACAGTAGTTGTATGTCTATTCGAATGAATGTGAGTGCGTGACTTATAAAATACAATTTTATTTTCAAGTAATAGTGAGGTCCTAGTAGCTTTGGGTTGTTTTCTAGTCTCAGTTAACACATGTTAAATATATAAGCACTCACGTGGAGACTGGAGAAATATTTTGAGGTTGAACGGGGGCCTCATACTTTAGAGAGTTTGGACCTTGGGGTGGAGGGTTGAGCCAGGTGTCTTCTAAAGCACCTGCCAGCTCTCCTAAGTCTTCCCGGTAGTTTCTTGGTTGATGTCGTCATCCAGCAATAGCGAAGGTCATCTTGCGGTGCGCTGGGCACTGTGCTGGCCGGGGTGCTCCAGCACGAGCTCACATGCCACCAGGGGAAGCAGAAGATTCAGGCTGTGGTGGGTGCCGGGAAGGAAGTGAAACTAGGTGAGGATGGAGGGCAAATCAGGGTGGCCAGCAGGGAGGGCTGAGCCTGCCTTGTGCTGTGCAGCAGGGGGAGCAGGCCCTGCCTGGCGTTTACAGGGGCCCAGTGGTTGGTTGGCTGGTTGGTTGGTTTGGCTGCACCGCACGGCTTGCGGGATCTTAGTTCCTCGACCAAGGGTTGAACCCAGACCCTGGCAGTGAAAGCGCCGAGTCCTAACCACGTGGGACCGCCAGGGAATTCCCTCCGGGACCCAGTGGCTGGGAGAGCGCTTCACCCACTCCCCACCCCCTGCTACCCAAGCGCAGGCCCCCGCAGTGACCACCACAGGCTGTGTGGCCTGGGCAGGGACCGCAGCAGGGCACCGGGATCATTGGCAGGCCTGGGTCTGGTCTGCATTCTAAGTGCTGGCCGTATACTCTGCTTCCCAAGAGCTTTTGGCAGGGGCTGGGGTTTATGCACGCGGAGCTTCCCAAATCTGCAGCCCCATCACAGTCCCCACGTGTCCTGGGCACCGTCCCTGCCCGGCCCACGCGGGCCGTGAAGAGGGTGAGAGGCGGGTGGGTGCCTTGCAGACGCCCCCCTCCTGACCCCGAGGCCGTGGCCGGGCTTGGAAGGGGAGAGGGCTCTTTGGATGTTTTAGTGAAGTCGGAGTTTAGCAGAAGTCACTTTAGAAGGGGAACTTTTTGGAAATAATATTGCCATCTGGAAGAAGCAGCGGCTGATACGTTGTCCGTGGCAGCTGAGGTGCTTTGGCAGCCTCTGTCTCACAGGGGCCTCCCAACACGCTGGTGGGTATGCGGGCGGCCGTTCTGTCCTAATCTAGTAGGGGTTCCAGAGAGCTATCCTGTGACTAACCCCCAGACACCAACTCGGAAAAGGGACCAAATCCCGCCCCTGCCCCACCCCTGCTTCCCGGTGAAAGTAGCTGTTGCTTCTGACTTTACGTGAAAACCCAGGGTTAGGAAGGCAGGCGGAGCTTCACGACAGTGCAGGTCTCACTTTCCAGGTGGCCCAGAGGTAGAAATCCTGCCCCTAAGCCACCTGGCTTCCCGGAGGGCAGATGGTAGGAGCCGCATTTTCATGTCAGACTGTTTATTCTTTGTCTTCCTACCTTTATCTGAAGGTGAACCAGCTTGGTGGGTGGACTCGAATTAGATCTCTTCAGAAGACTAGCTCGCATTGGAAAGATCGGATCCTTAAATCACAAAACCTCCCAAGTGCAGTGCCCAGCGCTGGCCTGATGCCTGGGTGGCGCCCAGGGGTGGGAAGCCCGGAGGTCGGCAGGTTGAGCTGGGGGAAAGCTGAGTGCCAGTGCCCGGGGCTCTTCTGTGCCCTGCCCTGCAGGGTAAGGTGTCTGTGTGAGGGGGGCAGACCCCAGTGACTCCCCTGTGTCTGTGCTCACTCTGCCACAGCACAGTGTGAATCACAAACCCCGGGCCACTCAGCACCTGGGGCCTCTTCCTTAGCCTCAGTCTTCCCGAGAACTGGTGCACAGACACAGATGCCTCTGGGCACGTTGTGTACCACCCACCTGGTGCTTATCCGCTTTCTCTTTACCCACTCTCCAGCCCACACTGGTCCCTCCGCACCTCTGTTAGAAAAGGCCTGAAGCCGGGCTTCCTCAGTGACTGGTGAGGATGGACCCCGCCACGTGTCCCCGTCTCGGAGGGCCCAGCTCAGCGGACTCAGCCGTGAGGGACCCTGTGCCCTCTGGGCCATCTGTGCCTCCCTTGTCTCAGGAAGAGAAAAGCTAGTAGCCTGGGCTGAGGGTCTGGCCTTTCTTCTCCTCTTGGGCAGTTCACACTGTTAGGTTAATTTCTAGGTATGTGTCACTTAAATAGGAAAGTCACCAAGGGTGCCGAGGGACCGACCGATTTCTGTTTATAGAGGGTCTGCTCCAGGCCAGGTGGTCCTTTTGGTGCAGTCTCTCATTTAATCCTCGTGACCATCCTGGAGGGAGGAGGGCCTTGTTTCAGGGACTGAAAGCCACAGCTTAGGGAGGGTAAGTGACTTGCTGAGTCCCAGAGCTAGCGAGCGGTGGGGCACTCCAGGGCTCTGCTTTGTGCCACGTGGCCCCAGACGAGGCGTGGCAGAAGGGGCCAGGGAGACAGGCCAGCTGCTTCAGGCAGTTAGAGCGGGAGCAGTGTTCCCCTCATTGGGTAGTGTTGCCAGACAAAATGCAGGGCACCCAGGTAAATTGGGAATTCAGAGAAACAGCAAATAGCTTTTTAAAGTATAAATGTGTCCCACACAGTACTGGGGACATAGTTATACTAAGTACTAAAAAGTGATTTGCTTGCCTGAAATTCGAACTTCACGGGGCACCCTGTGTTTTCATGTGTTTAATGTGGCAGCCCTACCAGGGGACCCCGGGAAACATGGTGCGCCTGCTGCGTGGAGACCTGAGTGCAGGTGCAGGTGTGGGCTGGACTATGGGGGGAGAACCCCTTGCGGGAGGGAATCCAGGTCACAGTGAGGGCCTCAGAGGCAAGGATCTGTCGTTGAGGCAGGAGGAAGCTGACGCCCGGGCCCTCGTGAGCCCTGTCCACCAGGTGCACTCAGGATCCGAAACTGTCTGCCGCCAGCGCACGTGCAACAGACCAGTTCCCTGCTGCCCGGGGGTGATGGACGGTCCCGACAGCCAGCTGACACCAACCCAAGCGGCTTGGTTTGGCTTCAGGAAGCCCCGTGTTAAAGGTGACACGAAGCACTTTTTTGTCTCTCTTGCAAAGAATCGAGTGCGACTTCCGGTTCTTCTGTGTCCCCTGCAGCAGAGTGTAACCGTGTGACCCGCTGAGGACCCAGGTGCCCCACGTCACTCCCGGGCAGCGATAGCCTGAGAAACGCCCACCCCCGAGGTTCCGCGCAGGCTCTGGCGGGCACGTGGGCGGAGCCGGGACGCTCCAGGGTTCGTTTCTCGGGTTTCAGAGATTCTCTACAGCTCAGTGGGTGTGGCCGCAGCTTGTCAGCGAGTCAGGATTTTAAACCCGGCCTGCTTGGAATCGCCTCAGGGTGACGTCTGCCCTCTGAGGATTACCCAAAGGTCCGGCCCGCGGCAGGCCCCCTCCTGCCCCGGCTTCCAGGTCCTGGCAGGTGCCAGATGCCAGGGACACAGTAGCCTGGGCCAGAAAGAGTCAACAGGCACATCTGCAGAAGTGAAGTCTTATCACATGTTCCAAGACCAAATAGAAATGGCTCCTTTCCGGTAAAGTGTTTTAAATTTTATTTAATTATCAACTTGATAAGTTGCTATTAATTAAAAATATGATGTTAAGTTAAATAATAAGTCAAAACACCCTTGGTATCAATAGAAAAGTATTCAGGAATATTTGTCTTGAGGCTATTAACTGAAATTGCCCATTCTTTTATTACCTCTGTTTAACTGATTGATTTGTAAGCAGCAGGGCCATTTTGCTTGTGTTTTCCAGGAAGAAGCACTGAATGGCTGACATTTGACAACATGCACCACCAGTGGCTTCTGTTGGCCACATGCTTTTGGGTGATTTTCATGTTCATGGTGGCCAGCAAGTTCATCACACTGACCTTTAAGGACCCTGATGGTAGGTACACCTCCTCGTGGAATGGATTTTGGCAAATTCAGACCTTGCTGTGGTACTGTTCCTGGGTACCTGCTTGGATGAGTGGTGACACGGAATCAAGTGACTCTGACCCAGAAGGGACTTGGAGGTCATGGTGTCCAAATCCTTGATGTTGCAGAGGTTCGGGAGAGGAGGTGGTCGGGGATGAAGGGGTCTTTCCCCTCGCAGTCTGTGGGTTTGGGGACCAGCCCTGCTTGCTGTCGCTGAGAGATGCTGCGTATGTGCCCGGTGATGCTGCCTGCTGGTGGCCACGTGTTTGAAGGTCACCTTCAGCACCCCGGAAGGAAGGTGGTCTAAATATATGTGTGTTGGGTTGTCCTCGAGGATTTTTTTTAACTCCCCTTGACCTGATGTAGGCGTTCAGATGAGGACATATTAAGAGCACACAACCCAGCCTCAGAAGAGCTGCGTCTGGTTCGTGCCCTTGCCCTTTGCTTACCGGGGCCTTAGTATTTTTTCTGTGGAATGGGCGTGCTCCCTGCTCTGTCAGCTCCAAGCCCGACCTGGGCACCATGAGGCCCTGTGAGTGACCTCTGAGGTGCTGGGCACGAGTGAGGAGCTGTGGGGACGGTCATCTTGAGCCCTGAGGCCACTCCTTCAGGGGCAGCATGAGGCAGGGCGCACGGGAGATGTTGAAAAGGCTTGTGAGCGGCCTTAGAGTGTCCTGGCACCGCCATCCTGATAGGGAGGAAGCACACAGCATCTTTATCCTGCACAAGGCTTGGCATGTTCGCCTGCAGGCGGTGGCCCTTGAGGAAGGGAAGTAGAAAAGGATCACACAGTCTTTTGCTGATTTACGCCCCGGGGGTGCACAGCCCGTGCCATCTGTGTGGCCAGCGGGCTCCGAACCCTGCTCATCCTGGAGAGCCCCCGGGGGTGTCCTCGGCTAGGCTGAGGCTGCCCAATGCCCCACAGCCCCTGCTTCCATCCTCCCTGTAGAGGGGCAAGGTTGGAAGGCAGATCTGCAGGCAGAAGAGGGAGGCGCTGAAATAAGCCCCCAGGGTGGTTCTCAGCTCCGCAGTTTCAGGTCAGTAACGTTATCAGGGCCCAGCTGGCTGTCATCTCAATCCTACCCTCATCTTCCAGGAGCCCGAGAGGCTTTCACAGCCCGGGGAAGGTGGAGTCACAGCTGCAGGCATCTGGGGTGGCCAAGAGCATCACGGGGTGTCACGGCTAATCACGGTCACACTGGGAGCCGGGGCCGCTGTCAGGACAGCACAGACCAAGTCTGGGAAGGTTGTTCGAATTTGAGCTGTGGATCTCAGCCCAGCCATTTGCTGCGGGGCTGCTCCCCCCAACAGTTAATGTCACCGATAGTGGAGACCCCTTGTTAAGAGTTAGAGCAGTGGTTCTGGTCCCCAGGGCACTTTAAAATCGCATGGGGACTGTGTATACCTCCTGCTGCCCAGGCCCAGCAGAGACCGGGGGGGCAGAATCTCTAGGCTGGGGGGCCCAGGTGAGGACCGCCAGTGGGAACGTGGCTGGGAAACTGCACAAGAAACAAAGCTGCAGAGAACATGAAATGCTGTCACTGAGTCTACACATTTCACTTGTGATTCCTTTAGTGTCATCTCCTGGTAAGGGAGGCACTTGAAAGGCGAGCCATGAGGTTGAATTGTTTGTGGTTTATTTTATTTAAAAATGAGGAGTGTATGTAATATATTTTATATTCCACCCAAAATAATTAAATAAGACATGTGTCTCTGAGTTTGAATATGAGCTAGCAGTAAGGCCTCTGAAGAGCACCTCGCATCTCAGGGGCATCTGATAAACGAGGTGTCGCTGCTGTGGTGGGGCAGGTTTTATGCTGCGTGTTTTCAGAAAAGTGTAGAAGCTTGAGAAGGTCCGGGGAAGGGGAGCAGGAAGTGAATGGGTGGAAGGTGACCCTACAGAGAAGGCTGAGAGGCCTTAGGATGTTAAAACTGCAGAGAAGGTCTGCTGCTGCCCTGGGGGCGCTCACCAGGGTCTCACCAGTGGCTCCAGCCCCATGAGGCGCATGGTGGTCTGCGTGCCCTTGGGTGTCCCACATAGTTGCTGGGGTTCCGTGCAGGGGAGCGTGGTTGCGGGCTGCTCCTGGAGGGAACATGAGAGCCCGAGCTCACCAGCCAGCTCCCCTTTCCCCCTCGGGCAGCACGGAGGAGCTGGTCTTCAGTGGGGATGCAGCCCCGTCGTGCTGTGGACTGAGAGTGAGGACCCTAACCCTAACCCCTAAACTAACCCCAAACCCTAAACCCTAACCCTAACCCTTTGTTATTGGGCTCAAACATAACCCAGCCTTTCTCGACCACACAGATCTTATCTAATTGTCCCCAAGTCCCTGGCTGCGATCATGAAGGTGGGTGTCTGCTGGCTGGGTTCGGGTGCAGGAAGCAAGCCCACGTGCATGGCGTCTTGCTGGCCTGGGTGACTGAGCAGGGAGCGGGCCCCCCAGAAGTTCAGGCCTCAGTCCCCTGGAGTACTGTGGCTCAGGCCTCAGGTCCCCTCTGTCTTGAGAGGCAGCTCACCCCCACAGTGGATCTCAGACTCCTATAGGAAACCAGGGAGGTTGGTAAATGTGTGGCCGTGAGAGATTTCCTCATGTGTTGGAGTTTATTTTACTTGCGTTCAGTGTTTTTGCTTTTGAGCCAGAAGCCCACTGTGAACTGTCATCACAAGGAAGTAACTAACACACAGTGGTGTCCTGTGTGGGGAAGTTCCATCCCTGTAAAGTGGGTGGCAGATCCATGGCCTCAGTGTTCAGGGAGCTGGGTGCCCTCAGTGTCTATGGGCAGCTCCTTCCAGCTCTGTCCCCTGGGAAGTGGGCTCTGTTCCAGCATCCAGTTCTCACCTACCTGTTCTATTTTTTTTTTTTTGCGGTACGTGGGCCTCTCACTGCTGTGGCCTCTCCCGTTGCGGAGCACAGGCTCCGGACGTGCAGGCTCAGCAGCCATGGCTCACGGGCCCAGCCGCTCCGCGGCATGTGGGATCTTCCCGGACCGGGGCACGAACCCGTGTCCCCTGCATCGGCAGGCGAACTCTCAACCACTGCGCCACCAGGGAAGCCCTCACCTACCTGTTCTTAATGAGTTCCCTACCACCCAGTGGGTAGGAAGAGCACATTTGTCTTGAGCTGCTGTTTAAAGCCGTGTGTGCGTGCGTGTGTGAGTGTGTGTGTGAGTGATGGTCTCTCTTCGGCTCAGGAGTGAAGCCACAGTGAATCCTTCTTTAACAGATTTCAGTGTCGTTTTGAACTAGACTTTGTCATAGGGAAATAAATCCCATTCAGTGGTGGGAATTTGATGGCACAGAATTGACATCCATGTGAATCTGGTGTGTATGCGTAGACACTGATTTTCTTCCTAATCTTGTGCCTCAGCTCAGCTGCCAGCCGCTTAAGGTCAAAACCTGTGATGCGATGTCTGCACGCCCCCTGCCCAGCGTGTGATGCAGTGGTGACCCTGGGCAGCTGGACACACAGAGAGGTCAGGGAGCTGAGGGGCTGCTAGCCTGTCTAGAAAAACAAAGCAGTACTGCATGTGGCAAATTTAAAGACATTTTGTGAAACAAATATAATGATGTCTCTAAGGAAAGCGAGCTCATGTTGTGAAGATAGCTGATGGTACCTATTGATCAGGATCCTTGGGCCTGAAGCTGGCGTGTTGCCCCTGGGGTTCAGGGTGGGGTAGGGATCTGCCCTTTGATCACAGTGGCGACAGCAGCACCTGCTGAAAATACATGGTTGTCAGCAAAGCAGTGGAAAAGCAAAACCAAACATAAGGTGTGCTATCAGTTTTATTTGAATCTAGTTGAATTGGGTTCGAGGGGAGTTGGGGAGCAAATACCAGGATGTTCAAGGTTAAAAAAAAAAACAAAAACAGTTAAAAATTGGCGGACGAATAGCCGACATGTGTGGCTGGAAGGTGAGCTGTCCCACAGCTACCAGAGCCCGTTCTGCATGCTTCCGAGTGTGTGAAATAGGCACTTTTCAAAAATTCACTGTTAAGTCAGTTGTTTAGAATTCACGCTACGTTGTCCATCTACAGTGTCATTAAGGAAGCTTAGGTTTCTGGGAACCCGTGTGGCCTGTGGAAGTGCTGAGCATCGCTGTGCTGGTCAGAGATGTTGGCACATGAGGTGACCAGATAGGAGTGGAAGGTGCCATTTCCCTGAGCACGTTGGTGCTCGAAGGTGAGGCTGCGGAGGAGGAGGAGGAGGTTGGACGCTGGCCTCTTGGCCCTCGGGGTGCATTCCGGAGCCTTGGGGCCAAGGGTGCTGCTGCCCTGTCTGTCTTCACGCTATCCATGGTGCCTCCTGTCCTCACTGCAGGTGCAGAGCAGCTCCTGTGCGCACCTGTGGTTAGGGCTGCATTTCGACTCAAACACAGGGAAAAGGAAAAAAGATTTCCGTGGGATTTATAGAGGTGTGTGGCCGAGATTTCTGGTGGAGTCGGAGAGCTCAGAGGCATGAGCGGTGGGAGATGGGTTATTATTATTGACGGGGCTCTGGGAGGCTGGGTTTCTCCCCTCTGCACTGGGAGGACGTCAGGGTGGGGCTTGTTCATGGTGGGGCTGTCTGGGGAGCGGGGGTCTTTAACAGCCATACTGAAGGCGGGGAGGCTGCAGCAGAGCCTGCAAAGTGTAGGTAGTAATGACCCAAGAGGAGTTGGTTTTGACGTTTTTAACAAAGTGAAATGTGCCTTTGCTTATGCGTTTTTATGCTAATTTCTGTGCTTTTCTTTGATAACTACTTTTTTATTCAAATTATGTTTCTAGGCTTTGCAAAACTTTGAAAGCAATGTTTCTTTGATTGTAGAGATCTGACAGTTATCTTCAAATTCTACCCGAAGGTTTACCCCCAAATCAGTTTGTTGTAAATGATTACTCTGGTGTAGCGTTTTGTAAGACTCCTCTAGTCTAATTTCAGTTCCCATAAATTTCAAAAATAATGTGTAAGCACTAACTTGACTGCCGACTTGGCTTTTTTTTCCTAATTAAACTTTTAATTTTGAGATTGTTGTAGAGTCACGTGCAGTTGTACAAGAGAGTCCGATGTACCCTTTACTCTTTTGCCCCAGTGTAGCATGTTGCAAAACCACAGTGCAGAGTCACAAGAAGGGTATTGGCAAGGATGCAGTCACGATGCACAACATCTCCATCACCACCAGGATCCCTCCAGTTGCCCTTCTGTAGCCACACCCACCTCCCTTTCCCCCTCCCTCCCCCGTGTCCCCTCCCCCTCCC